AGCATGCCCAGGCGTTGTAGGGAGGTCATACAGGCACGTGGAGGCCACACACACTACTGAGCCTCATTTTGACTTGTTTTAAGGACATTACATCAAAGTTGGATCAGCCTGTAGTGTGTTTTTCCACTTTAATTTTGAGTGTGACTCCAAATCCAGACCTCCATGGGTTAATAAATTTGATTTCCATTGATAATTTTTGTGTGATTTTGTTGTCAGCACATTCAACTATGTAAAGAACAAAGTATTTAACAAGAATTTTTCATTCATTCAGATCTGGGATGTGTTATTTTAGTGTTCCCTTTATTTTTTTTAACCGGTGTATATATTAGGTCTTACAGCTGTGTTTGAGGTTAGATAGGTACTATCTTAGTTCAGGAGGTCATGAATTTTGCCTCTAATAGTTAGAATTTTGTCATTAATAAAGCTCATAAAATCATTACTGCTAAGTGCTAAAGGAATACAAGGCTCAATAGAGCTTTGACTCTCAGTCAGCCTGGCTACAGTGCTGAAAAGAAACCTGGGGTTGTTCTTATTTTCTTCTATTAATGCTGAGTAATAGTTTGCTCTGGCATGGTGTCGAGTCTTTTAGCGGTGAAACTAACACGCTGTTTTTTGATGTGTAATAATGTGGGACGCACAAACACACACTGAAAGGAAAGAAAAATGAGATCTGAATGTGGGTGTTGGCTGGAAGTTTATTGGCATCTCTATCACACTCTGTGTGTGGCCGCGTTAGAAGAACTGAACACCTGGCTGTAAATGAAACACACCCAGCAGTTCACAGAGAGAAGCGGCATGCCTGGATACATACTGAGCTCCTGCCACTTGGAGGAAGTGTAAAACAGCTGATCATCACAGAGGTGTTTGAAGAGTCAGTGCAGTGCAAGTACCAAATTAGAAAATATCAAATGTAGGAGTGAAGGGAGGCTACAGGCAGTCATCATATCGTACAGATCATCTGACCTCATTTGAGTGGTATCATATTCATCCATAGTCAATTTATCAGTCACATTGAATTTAATAATGAATGTATAATGAATATATCATTCATATCTCAAGCTTATAACAGGCTGAGAGGCATACTCAGCTTTTAATCTTTGCCTTCTCGAGATACTTTGAAATCATTTTTTACAGAACAATCTTAGTGCTTTCAACACGTGCCACTATTTGCCATGATTCATTTTAGCCCTTGACAGGGGTATTCAACTAGCTTTGCCACTTTTGGGGCCACTTTTGCAAATAGTACAAGGCCAGGAGCCACTTGTCCAGCAAACAACAATAATATTCATCAGATAAAATGAATAAAGGAGGCAAATCCAGTCACAGCACCGCACAGGTCAGGTGTACGCAGAGGTGTTTCTAGGATTTGAGGACATTCAGGGCTCAGATCTGACCTCTGTAGGGGACTCTTGGGGATCCTCACGTCGCAATTTTAAAACAAGGTGTATTTTTATAATCTTTAAAATGAAATCTGACACCTTATTTACAGTCAAGGTGCCAAAAAAATCCTAGTGTGAATCTTTT